CACTGGCGCGAAATGTTTTCATCCCACGTCTGATACAGAACCACGTGACTTATGTTATCGGCGAGGACGACTTCCCTGAAGGTCCACAACAAAACAACATCGCTGGCGCCATTGCCGGTACAAGAAAGAGTCTCGTCCTACTCTCGCGAGATATCTTTGAAGACAGGAACCGGGAACTCGAGATGAACCTGGCCATCATGCACGAAATGAATTGTTCTGATAGAATAATCGTGCCTGTTTTTGTGGGTCACTTTCCGGTCAACACCTGGCCCGTGGAGATCGTGACCTACATCAGAAACCAGAATCACCGTTGTTTGTTGTATCAGGACACGGAGGAATTTTGGGAAATGTTGATAAATCAAATACGTCAGTGATATGGGGACCATAGTATTTCATTGAGCGAGATATGTTTGTACATTTAACTTATCGTTCGAATACTTAGACATATGTTAGACAAATAAACTAGGCGGTAATCTTAGTTTATTACCCATTATCAATGTCTTTATTATTATTGCGTTTCGTTTTGAATGTTTTTTTCCTACAATCAATGACATCATCATTCTCTTTGTGTACTTTGCTAGAGTTTAAACTTTTCAAGTTTGTTTCAATGTAGTATTTTCCTATTCGCTTCATGTTACATAAGTCTGTTTTACTGTAATATTATTTTATTTTTCATATTTTTTTCACTAGATTGTTCTTGTCAGACAGATACACAGACAGAATGGTGAAAATATTATATAGAAGATATTGTTTATTTAAGTGATGAGGTTGTTTGATTTTTATATAATATTTATGAATATATTAAAAATGTGATATAAATTGTTTTATAAATCTATAGGCCCTATTAACATAACTGGAAGTTATTTTTGTTACGTGTCAGTTTCAAGTTTAGAATAGTTTCAAAGGTATGTAACTGTATTCTAAATTAAGATAGTGTAGTCCATAACTAAATTAATCATCATAAATGTTAACCTTTAACTTTTTCATTAGCGGATTGAGATACACCTATAAGTTAAATTAGAAATATTGAGTTGTTGATAAAACAACATTCAGCAAACAAACATGTATCGAGAGAAAAAGAAAAATAAACAAGAAAATAAATAAATAGATACACAGAGAAATAATTCAAAGCAGTGTTATGTCCATATTTTTAACCTTAGTTAAAACCCACCAAGTGATTAATATTGAAAGGTTTAGGAAAACCTCAAAACAGTGTTTAACACATAAAAACTGTAGTTGGAAAATTCTGATTCAGGGAACGCGATTAATATTTACAGATTTGCATTGACAACATGAGGTTTATTTTAAACCTCCATTAAACGTTATAGAGTCATAGTTTTAATTAGTAGAACCACCCATCCATGACATACGCTACGCAGCTCGCACACACAATTTGTTGTAAACTGCAGTGGTTTGCTAAATTGTGGCGCAATGGTTGTATTTTGTTTGTGTAAACGATGTCTGGGATTAATCTGAACCAATAGCGAGATTGGATTTGTTTTCTCGGTATAGTATTATTGAACTTTTAATATATAGATCATATTTTTGAAAATAGTATAATCATAGGTAAAGCATTTTTAATTATTATAATCTTACCCATTTTAAATTTTGTTCTTGTTGAATAACAAAAAAAAAAAAACAATTCAATTTTATGTATTTTATTGTGTATTTAAAAAACGCATGTTGAAACCAAGAGTTTTTATTATTATACTTTATAAATTAATTAGAAGACCCAATTTGACTGCTTCCATATTAAATAATTACTGTCGATATTGCGTTAGCCAACTGTTCCAAAGTGATCTAATTTAGCACTTGTGTTTTAAAGCGCAACCCATGTTTATTTTGTAATAGTAATTGTAATGTTTCTATAATATATATATTAAAATCTAAGTGGGTTTTTTACTATATGTTTTATATAGGTTCGATTAAGACGTAATACGATTCTTTAAATTAAAATTAAATTTTACAACATATTCGTTCATTTTCTTTCCACGTGTCTAAAAATAAACCGTTGATTGAAATAATATTTTATATCAGCAATCAACAACATTTATAATCTAAATATTAGAACATGTAAGTTAAATAAGTATTGTGAAAAAGATGAGTGTTTTTTTAAAAATAGCAGGCATGTAAAGATCAAAATTTCAGCTGCATTGTTATTCATTCTATTGTTAGAAGGGATTGCCTCCAACACAATTAAGTATAACGTGTCAACTTGTTATACGTTGACACCGATTTCAGCTTGCTTTTCTTTCTGGATTTGCTTCCATAGCCTTTGTCCCACCAAGAACAAACTACAAGGCAGCAGTTGTTTTAATTTGGAGTGTTCTCTCCAAGAAGAATGGCTGTCCTTAGCTATCGAGTCTTATCTATCCGAGGGTTCGAACTCGAGACTTTTCTGTTTAGCAATCATGCGCTTCACTGACTCGACCAATTCGATCCTAAAAAAATATTCTCTCAAAAAGTAAAACGAATATAGTTATACAAAATTTCCTACAACAATAGGATTGTTTGAAATATGAAGTCACAAGATCAAAGATGATTAATATCGTCTTCTACTCAAATCTATTAATTCTATAAATTAATTAACCAACGGGATGTAAATTGACTTGATAAAAAAAAAACATGTAATTCAAGAACTAAATGTAGTAACTTCCATTTTTACATTTACCTTCCTTGTGGGTTATATTTTGTTACAGCTGTTGTCTTTTGAAATAATAAAATGGTGAAGAGTGTATACTCTGCTTCCTCGTGAAGTGAGTGAGAGACAAGATTTATTTTATAATGGTAAATCATTGACAGACAGGATGTGTTATATAATTATAGGTAATTGATAGACTGGATGTATTTTATAAGGGTAAATAATTGACAGACACAATGTATTATATAATTTTAAGTAATTGAGAGACTGGATGTATTTTATAATGGTAAATAATTGATAGCCAATTGAATATAGTCATGGACAGGATACAGTTTTAAAATGATAATAAACTACACAAACTTCTTAGTACAGTAGCAGTAGCGAGTATACATAATAATCTGGTCCGGTGACTATGTGACAACTCAATATACTTGCAGTGTACGGCGTGTAATAAAATGATACAAGGTTGAAATCAAGAGTAGGCAAGGAATTTGTTGTTCTAAAACATTTATTATAAAGTATGATATGTATGTAAATGATGCATAATATAAAAACTGAACTATATAAAAATACCTCCAGAACTCGCGTATGGAGCCCGATAAGCTCTGCAATGTGGTGTCTAAATCAAATTAGCGTGAAGCTCAGCGCGAAAAAAATTGAGTAAAATAACCTTTTACAGGCTCAATATGGTCCTCCGCGCGCGATTGACTAGTCCTATGCGCCTTTCAGACTAATATATTGGTCATAAACGTACACCTAACCCTACTGAACAGTCAAAGGCCGAGTCAGCTTTCGCAGCGGCCAACTCTGGAATACAGCTGCACGGGGGAGCAGAGTTTCTTCAAGAAAGTCTACCCCCCCCCCGAACGAGATGAAATTTATATAGTAAACATATACTTTTACTAGTGTCCGCCCCCCCCCCCCGGAAAATGTTGACCGCCCCCCCCCCCCCCCCCCCCGAAAATATCAAGTGCCCCTCGGAGAAAAAAAAACCTGGAAGAAACACTGCGGGGGAGTGGGAAGTAAGGGCGCTGTAAGAGTGTGGAAAGGTACACACGAAGGGCGCTCAAATTGTTTTACCGTTACAGGAACACTCAATACACCGAGTTCATTATTACACAATAACAATCCAAACAACACTGCCACTATTCACAGAGGTAGCGTGCTTATAATAGGCTTCTGTATTCTGTGCACGATTTCAAAGAACTCAAGACGGTAAAGCTATAGTTTGTGTGCTCTGAGACGTAAAGAAGTATTTCATTTCCTGATCGGGTACATGGATCTAATATTTTGATGGTCTACTTGGAACAAATTATAAAACCACGACACAATGTATTTTACTACTGGCAGACATGTTGGTGAAAATTTTATTTATTTATATATATATATATATATATATATATATATATATATATATATATATATATATATATATATATATATATATATATATATATATATATATATATATATATCAAACCTCTTATCAGGGCAGTGTGAGACTCGTTAAGAGACTTCATATGGTTTATATCAGATCAAAACTTATGGACTAGAATCTTCCGATAAAGCGTTATAAAAATTTACGGATATAATTATAACCATTAAGGCAGAGATCAACATTATACAAACAGTGTTTCTTTCAGATATGTTTCTCCCATATTCTCCCATATTGCACTTGAATCATTTGGGAAGGTGATGGTGGACTTAAATTTAGCATTTTATGTATTTATTTATTTATTGTATTTATTGAATGTAAGATACATTTGCTTTTTCGCATTACTAGAAACCTTTTTTTAAATAGTCACTCAAACCTCTCTTTGGTTTATAATGCTGAATCTAAATTTCAATACTTTATTAAAATATGAGCTACGCCATAGATATTTTTAAAATAATATATGAAATATTGGTTACTATGAATATTATATATATATATATATATATATATATATATATATATATATATATATATATATATATATATATATATATATATATATATATATATATATATATTCTATTTCTATTCCAGCAAAAAATGTTACTTCGGGAGACTTGGAGGATTATTTTAATCGTTTTATTGACGAACCCAAGAGTACAAGGACTTCAAGACGAGAAGATACAAACGTATAATCAGGAATTTTGGAAACAAACAAAATCCCAGCAGTCAGTGTGTTGTTCACTTTGTCGTTGTACAGAGGATAAAATCATGATGGAATTTGTCGTAGACTGCTCCAACAGAGGTTTAAAAAATATTCCAGACATACCTCAACAGGTGACAACGCTGAATTTAAAAACGAACCAACTAGAAAACATCACGTGTCATGATTTTAAAGATCTGTCAAATTTAAAAAGTTTAACAATGTCGAACAATAAGATAAAAGAACTAAAAAAGTGCGCATTTGCAAATCAAGATAGATTAGAGAAATTGGATCTAAGTAATAATGAAGTCGTTAAAATTAAGCCTTCCATCTTTACTAAACTTTTAGAGCTAAACCATTTAGATTTATCAAATAACAACCTGAAACAGATTTTAAATAATTCATTTTTTGGTCTTAGATCCTTAAAATATCTGTCTCTCCAACAAAACAAACTATATTACTCCAACACTACCTTTGAATTAGACGCATTCAATGGACTAGACAAGCTAGAGATTATACATTTAGAAAGTAACAACCCTACCTACGATTCCCCAACCTACCCAGATTTAGCACTCGCCAAACTGACGACACTTCGGGAAATTTTCATGGACGGATACCCCATTCAGCTTGGGCTTGGCTTTAGTAGTCTTCACAACTTAGAAGCAATAAAACTAGACTCTGATACATTCTGCGAATTAGGTGCTGAGTTACAGGACAATTTTTTTCAGCATATGGTTTCAAAGAAAAATTTCTCTGTGTGGCTCAACAGTTGTGGATTAAGTAAAATACCAACGAACATTTTCAAGCCTATTTCAAATCTGATACGAATAGACATTTACGATTCATTGCTTTCATTGGAAAAATTTGAAAATAATTCACTCTGGTTAACTGGCTTGAAAATAAGTGTGCTTAACATTTCGAGAATAAACTATAGAGTTGATATTTATTTTTCTTATCTCACAAGACACACTTTTCGGAAATTAAAGAATATACCACTGAAATCTCTAGATATATCCAGCAATGGAATTTATACTTTAAACGCTTTGGCGTTTGTAGGCCTGCCTCAAACACTTGAGTATTTATCTCTTAGAAATAATAAATTAGTCAGGTTTGAAGTTGGCATTGCTATTTTAACTCTCAGACGTGTTAAAATAATTGATGTATTAATACAACTTCAGTACACAGAAACGCCTGACAAAGCAAAAGCGATAGATAATTGGAATTCTGAGTGTGAATTAATGAATGCAAATATACTACATTCTAACGATGACAAAACATGTTGAAAAATAAAACGGCTGGTTCAAAGTCAATAGAAGATCAACCATACCAAGTTTACTTTCCACTTCCCGTCAAACTTGAAGTTTTTGTTTTTAACACCATGAAAATATTCCATACCGGCATTTACCATTAAAATGAATAAAATACTGAGATATTTTGACTATTCTAACAACATGGCAAGATGCTGGCAAGGACCCCTCAGGGGTCTACCATCGCTTCAACATCTTGATTTATCTAGAAATTATTGCACGAAAATGAATTTAATATTCTTAAAATATCTGACAAATTTGACGACACTTCTTCTACAAGACAACTATCTTGGTCCGACTTTGGCCAATGACATTTCAGGAATAAATTTCTCAACACTGACTAGATTGGAGGCCTTGAACATCAGTGGTAACACTATAACATCTTTATCCAGAAATGTCTTTCAGAATAACATCAATTCAAAATATTTAAATCTCTCAAGAAATTCACTTACACATTTTGAAGTCGATTTCAATAAAGTACAAAAACTCGAAGTGCTTGACTTAACTGGAAATCTCTTGGTCGGATTTTCTGAACCGAATTCCAAAGATTTCAAACAAATGAGATCCAAGAACCCAAATTTTAGAATTAAAATCCAATCCAATCGTCTGATATGTACTTGCGAGTACCTGTCGTTTGTTCTTCTTCTAATCACCGACCCAGACATATTCGATAGTGTAGACTCCATCACCTGTTCCACAGCTGACGGTTCCATCTTATCACATGAACAACTGGCCACATTCTATCCTCAGTTAATGAAGAGCTGTGTCTCACAGGAAATTTTCATAGGAACTCTCGTTACGTTTGCATCGTTCTCGGCATCGTCTTGTTGTCGGCCATGTTTTACTACAACAGATGGAAATCTGCTTATCTCTATTACATTGGATCAAAGAAACTTCACATTGGCGATGCTTTATTAAAGTATCAACCACTTGCTGATATTTATATATCATATGAACAGGTGAATAGGAGTTCAGCATTATTAGAGTGCAGTGCAGAGGGTAATGCAAGCAATACAAATTTAACAATTTTTCTACATACACACACATACAACCGAACTAAATAATAACAAATTACATATACCTTCATCTTTGCGTATAATTTATCCAGTTCATGATAATCTTCAAATATAGATATGTGAATAACACATAAACCACAATAATTTTTAGTCTCACTCTACCAGTAGCTTAGTAATAGACATCTATAATTTCTTATAATCTTTCGGAGAGGCCACATCAAATAATTTTGTTACACAATTGAATATTATATAGGTTCGCCTTAAAAAGGCCTCTACAGCAAAACAAGAACAACAACAACAATAGCAAAACAATGTTTGTTCTTTTCGTTCTGTTTTTATTGTGACATCAAGTTTTTAATTCATAGACTGGATAGATTTTGTTTAAAGTTTATAGCCTTTATAATTTCTTTTGTTCTATTTGGAAATATGATGAAATACTAAACACTATGTACATCTTCGAAAGAGTACTAAATAAATTAGTAAAACTGAAACTGTTTTGAAACCAAATAATTAAAACATGGACATTATTTCAGGAGCCAGAGTTCAGTCGCTTGGCGAGAAACAAATTTATTCCTTGGCTAAATGAGAAAATGTTCACATTGATAAACGGCGAAGATGACTTCCCTGGTGGTTCACAATATGAGAACATCGCTGGAGCCATTGCTGGTACAAGAAAGACTCTCGTCCTACTCTCGAGAGATATCTTTGAAGACAAGTTCCGGAAATTTGAACTGAATATGGCCATCATGCATGAGATGTATTATTCTGATAGGATCATCGTGCCTGTTTTTGTGGGTCACTTTCAGGTCAACACCTGGCCAGTGGAGATCGTGACCTACATCAGAAACCAGAATCACCGTTGTTTGTTGTATGAGGACACGGAGGAGTTTTGGGATGATTTAAAGTCATATTTAACCAATCGTAAACGATGCAAAAATTGAAGTTCATATTCATATAATATTTTAAAATGTAACTACTATGTATTGCATTTTCATGAACTGAGTTTGAATTTTTATTTTGTATTTTTCAATGGTGTAATATTCATTTCCAGCAATCAAAAGACTTTAAAAATGAATAAGCTCAACCTGACATATTGTAATAAATAGCTTACACTTTTGTAAACAAAAAAACATAGTTCTTTGTTATGTTTTGTAAATTATAATTCCAATGTTTTTTTTAAAGAAGAAATGTGTGTATACAATTTATATTGTTTTAGTTTTGCTTTATAACAAGTTTTTAAATGAAGACTATGAGATGTGTTCATTTTGTAACTTTTCCATGAACTTAAATGCAGAAACATTTATAATTAATTAGTTTGTTGCGGTTGTTGTAAGAGCTTTGTTTAGCTTTGCATCTTGTGTAAAGTGAAACAATTGATTTTCAATTTTTATAGACTGTTTTTACATTTGTCTTAAATCTTATTACATTTTGAAAATAATATTAAGAATCTATGTACATCTTTTGATACCTATTTTTTCTGTAATAAGCTAATACTTAACAAATGCTACACTTATTGTAAATATGTAGTTCTCGGAGCAGTGGCGTAGCCAGGATCGTCTCAAGGGGGGGGGGTTCCAATTTTTACCCGGGGACAAACTTTCGATTTGCACCCCCCCCCCCTCAAACTTTCGATTTGCACCCCCACCCTCAAACTTTCGATTTGCACCCCCCCTCAAACTTTCGATTTGCACCCCCCCCCCCTCAAACTTTCGATTTGCACCCCCCCTCAAACTTTCGATTTGCACCCCCCCCTCAAACTTTCGATTTGCACCCCCCCCCCTCATACTTTTTATATATACCGAGGGGTCTATGGGGGGGTTATTACCCCCCTAACCCCCCCTGCCTACGCCACTGTCTCGAAGTACAGTAACATCTCCTAAATAATAACAGGTGACATTAGTCTGTCCGAAACAGGGAACAGCCAAAGAAATACTGAACGCAAAATAAACCAAGAATGTTTAGTTAAAAAAAATAAAGAAAAAAAAAGGTTTTTTTAAAAAGATTAATTCATTTGAGTATTAATTTTTTCCCTCGTTAATTTATAAATTTTTTGACAAGAGTTCTTCTCTAAGGGAGGGAAGCGATAAATTATTTTAGAAAATAGTAAAGAGAGCTGTTCTCGTTCTCAGTACAGCATAACCTTTAAAATTTGATGTGAAATTATTTTTATTTAGTTTAAATCGATCAGCTTAGTTTAAGCTTAGTGTAATGGTTATTTGTAGGTTCGAAATCAGTCTTCTTATTTCTTCTTTTTTCCTCCTTTTTTTTCTTTGTTCTTAATTTTAGTATTGGAAGAGTTTCCGAATTTCAGACTGCTTTTCTTATAGGATTTGCTTCACTAGCCTTTGTCCCACCAAGAACAAACTACAAGGCAGCAGTTGTTTGATTTTAGGTTGTCTGCCCTAGAAGAATTGCTGTCCCAAGCTGTCGAGCCTCATCTGCCCGAGGGTTCGAACTCGAGGCTTTTCGGTTTAGCTTTACAGACTAGACCACGCTGACCCCTGTTTTCTTAACCCAATGTCTTTGTTGAAGAAGCAAAGTTTGTAGGCCGATCATACAAATGTTACATCCTTCAATTAAATTAATAAAACATGTCAGTGTTGTATTCTGCATTTTTACATAGCTGTAGTGGATTATTATTTAGTGTGCTATTTGTTTTATGACTGAAAGCGAAGAAAGAACTCTCGATCAAAGATATAGCTAGTTAACATGATAAGACACACCACAGTGAGAATATATATATATATATATATATATATATATATATATATATATATATATATATATATATATATATATATATATATAATTCTTTTCTGGGAGACGCTAGAAAACAAGCTGTAAGCGCGCTCCCTACCACCCCCATCCTTACATGGTCTGGTGAGCTGTGGTTCACGCTAAATGTTTATAAGCAGAGCCGGGTTTAGTGACGACTATTAGGGGCAGATAATTTAGTTTGAAACGATTTTAAACGTAGGGGGGAGGGGGATAACTAAGTGGAGTTTACTTTAACGGGGGGGGGGGGGAGGAGGGGGGGGGGGTTATCGTCCTTAACGACCCACTGATAGTGTTTTAAAGCAAAATATTTTCAGTGGCAGCATTGGTACTGTCGAATTCACAAATTGTTACTGAAAAGTAGAAAAAACAACAACTAAATAGCGGCGTATGATATGCCGCGGGTCGGCTCGTTCTATAATAAATTTCATTCGTGTGTTTGATGCAATTTTTGAACGGTTTCTCTGCCACGTTAGGCTGTCTGTCACGCTGATTTATTCTGTTATCTGTCATATAAACGGTTGAGTTGTATCACGCCGAATGGTTTGATTGTCTATCACATGGAGTGTTTGTTTTGTCGGTCACGTTGAATGAATGGATTGTTTAACACGCTGAATTGTTGTATATTCTGTAACGCTAAATGATGGGGTTGTCTATCACGATGAATGGATAGGATTTTCTGTGAATGGTTGTGTTGTCCGTGTTTATGCAATTCTAAAAACAACCAAAATTTTTACTTATGCTTACAGTGTTTTTCAAAATCATTGATGAAGTAGAATGTTGTAAGGACAAGACGCAGCTGTCTTGGTATCCCTACCGTAAGTCAAGTACTCATAAAAGTTAGCTGCTGTAATCTCTACCATTCGACCGCGCCGTCCCCTGATTATAGTGTTGCTAGTATACATACATTCTTCTTTGTTTTTACTTGTAATACAATGATTGGGATTTCCTTCAACATAAGGTAGTATACGATGTGAAAACGTTTTGCTTCATATGGCCTGTTGACTCCGACTTCAGACTTCTTTTCGCTCTTGATTTTCTCCCATAGCCTCTGTCTACCTATAAACAATCTGCAAGATAGCAGCAGAGTTTCTTCCAGGCATCTACCGCCCCCCCCCCCGAACGAAATAGAATTTACATAGAAAATATATACTTTTGACAGTGTCCGCCCCCCCCCCCCCAAAAATTGTTGTCCGCCCCCCCCCCCCCGAAAATTTCAAGTGCACCCCCGGAAAAAAAGTCTGGAAGAAACACTGGATAGCAGTTGTTCCATTTAATTTTTTTCTCCCAGATGGGTCGCTGCCCCCAGCTAACAAGCCTCTTCTGCCTAGCTCGGACCGTCTGGAGTCAGCAATCAATCGCTCTCCTACCGTCCACACTGTGAGAAAAATTAAACAAAAACCAAACAACAACCTGCATTAGTTATTGCTGGTTAAGTTATATTAGTGTATTAAAACGTTTGGTTTATAATTCGACGTACACTGTTCAATATGTAACCTGTAAAGAGGTAAATGAATGTAAACACATCAACAAAACATAGTCACACAACCTAAGCTGTTTAACAAACAACAACTAAACTCTGTCCTTATCTATAAAACCCATTTTTATTAAAAACACCGACCTTAGAACGGGCTAAAGTACGCGACAGATATGAAAAGTTTGTCCTGTAGACAGAAAACTACACTCTCCTCCTCCAACGTGTCTGAAGTCTCCACTCCCACCACCACCCCTTGCCCCGTGTCTGCCTTATCTTTCTCGCCTTCAAAAAAAATATGCACTCGTCAGCGTGGAGCTTGAGGTTAAAATCTACAATTTTGTTTGTGTAGTTTGGACTCGGATTGTTTCTAAAGTTGTCTTTCATTGTACCAGTCTAAGGCCTGACACTGATTATAACTAGATCTAGTGCTCGACTACAAACAGGTAGGTAGAAGTTTAATTATATGAGTTACTTACTTACTGTTTATTGCTTAAATCCAGCGCTATAGAAAATTATATTAATCCGTTTTACATACTTCACAATAACTTAAATAGTTTTAAAATAAGACACTTTAAGCGAAGAAGGTCTGTCGAATAAATAACAAGCAAAGATGATAGAAACATACAATAAAATTCAGGAATGAATTTGTTTCGTTTGTTTATTACAATTTTTGAGAGGTGTCGTATTTGATCTATGTATAAGTAAAACATATTAAATGAATGAAAGTAGGCTACATGTAGGATAATAAGTATTACCTCTTGTTACACTGTATCAGTCCTCACAAGCAAACATGCAAAGAAAATTAAATGTCTGAGGCAAAAATAATGTTTAATGCAAATTTCAATATTGGCGAACTGAGAAACAAGGTGGCAGTGTAGTGCAGTAAAATGCAGTTGTGTTTCTTGAAGACTACTTATCGGTAGGGACAGTTCCCTAGTTTCTTTCATGCTTCACCTGGGAGGGAAGGGGGAGGGGCAAGGGGCACATCACCCCCTTCACGTAGCCTAATTTAACTAGCTCTAACCCCCCCCCCCCGCCCTCCAAGTTTGAAGTGCTCGCTCCGGGATAAAAATGTCTGACAGAAACCATACCACCCACTGCGGATCACTAACACAGCCCCTTCCCGGATAAAATAGTAAAAATATTAAATAAATTAATATGTGATTAGAAGATATATATTGTAATGATTCTTATAATCGCACCCCTCCACCCTGTGATTAAAATACCATAGAGAAATCCTGATTAATGAACATTGTGCGTATTTACATATATTTATTGTATCATGCACTACATTGTGACAAAAGGCCTACATCATATAAGCCATAGTCCTAATGAAAAATAAGTAATGGTTAAAACGAATCTGCTGAAACTCTGCTTTAATACATGTCAAATGTTGCTGCGTACATTTCAAGGATTTTCTTGTAATAAAGTCCTCTTTTCAAACCTAAAAGTCTATGGGGCAACTGAAGTAGAGTTTACCTGTTTCTATAACCTCAGCTTAAAAATGAGCAAAAAATCTGTATAATTTACCCACATTTTCATATTAAAAGTTAAAATTATTTTTTTAAATGACTCTAATAACTGTAGACATTTAAAAAAAAAAAAAACTATTCTTTTATTTCAGATTTTTATATTAAAAAAATGGATGCCACAGAATTTCGCCAGGAGGGACGTGAAATGGTTGATTTCATCTCGAACTACCTGGAAAATATCGGTGATCGCCTGCCAATGCCAAACGTTTTACCTGGTTACCTGAAGGACATGCTTCCTGCTGAGGCACCAACGGATGGGGAGTCGTGGGAGGCCGTTAAAAACGATATAGAAAGAGTCATCATGCCCGGTGTAAGCTTTTACTGTTAACCTGATTATAAAAAAATTTTTTGGACGGTGTGGTCGAAAGTTAGAACATACGACTGTTAACCTTAAAGTAATTAGCTCGGGTCTCAGTTTGTACTAGGACATTTCATGTGACCACCCAGCTTAGATGAGTACCTGACGATAGGGAGAGTAAGGCGGCTGGGCATAGGACTGATCACACTATACCATTATAAGACGAGATGAACACTACTTCATTTGCACTATAAAATATTGTACTCAACTATCTTAAATAGACTATATATATATATATATATATATATATATATATATATATATATATATATATATGTATATCACGTTGGTATTGTTTTAATTATTGAAAATAAAAATGTGAATATTCAAATGATTGCTGTTACTTTTAATAATTCATTATTATACTTTATAATAAATGCATAACAATGTTTTTCATCTAGGTAACCCACTGGCAGAGCCCACACTTTCATGCTTATTTTCCCACTGGTAGCTCATACCCAGCAATTTTGGGAGATATGTTGTCAGATGCCATTGGATGTCTTGGATTTTCTTGGGTTAGTTGTCTCATTTTACATATCAGAAAAGGGTTTACTAAAGTAGATAGTGCATTGATTTACTTTCCCCCTGACCAACTCGTTATTTAAAATAATATGGCCCTAATTGTTTTAATCATAAAAAAACTTTTTTTTTGCATGAGTAGCCTACCTTTTTTTTAATTAAAGCATTAAAAGTTTATAAAAGTAAAACCTCCTATTGTAACATGTATGTTGAAGATCAGTTTTTCTTTTACTGTGCTCGGCAACACAAAGTGATCTATTTCTTTCCACAATGGGACAATTTTATAGAAAGTGTTACTTCAAAAATAATTGCTGTTAGAATTGATTTTAAAATAGGCCTTTAAGATTTTTAAATGTTTCCATATGTTTAAATGTTTGGAAATTTAAAAAAAATGTGCAAGCATTTTATTATGCTTTTTTCTCTAAGCTTATTGGACAACTCAGTAATTTAAATTTTAAAAAAATAAGAACATTAGGATTTCTGGCCCTTGATTTGGAACGGTGAATTTTGATGTAAAACACACTTTTACTATGAATGTATATATTTTTCTGTGTTCAGGCTGCAAGCCCTGCATGCACTGAGTTAGAAGTGTCTATGTTGGACTGGCTTGCTAAAATGCTCAATCTACCCAAACAGTTTCTCTTTAGTAAAGAAGGAAATGGTGGTGGTGTAATTCAGGTTAGTGAAATCCAAATTCATTTGACTTAAAATAAGTAAATATGAAAATAATTGGTGTGTAAAATATTATTCAAGTAAGATTTATTTCCAATTTATTTGATCTAAATAAGACATTTAAAAAATTGGTGAATACAATTAATATAGTATTAAACATGAAAATTATTTGACGTTAATCACTTTACATGTATATAAATGAAATAATTTTAAAACCATATTTAGGGTACAGCAAGTGAGGCAACATTAGTTGCTCTTCTGTCTGCAAGAACTACAACAATAAACAAACTGCAAAAAGAAAACCCAAACCTAACACAAGGATCAATACTTGACAAGCTAATTGCTTATACATCAGATGAGGTAGTTTAATAGATAAAGGCAGTAAATATATGCCTGTTATATGAAATAATTTTTAGACAAAGTAGTGTAGCTTTACAAAATTGGGAAAGATTATAATAAAGATTATAATAAATATTATTAGGCCAACAAAAACAAATATATTTTAAGGGTTATATATATATATATATATATATATATATATATATATATATATATATATATATATATATATATATATATATATATTATAGATAGATATAGATATAGATATACAATCATGGGGGAGTAGTCTATATAAATGTTTACCTCCATCAAAATTTTGTTTACACATAAGACTTTTAGACAATAAGAATATACTCGCTTTTACTTTTCGATTCTATTAAAGTATTTTGCAACTTAATTTTTTAGTCCCATTCATCTGTCGAGAGAGCTGGACTCATTGGCATGGTTCAAATACGTGCTTTGTCTTCAGATGAAAATGGTTCTCTGAGGGGTACAGTGCTGGAATCTTCAATTAAAGAAGACAAAGAAAAGGGGCTAATCCCTTTTTTTGTAAGAATTCTTAAATTACTCAGTCTTTTTATTCAGTTTTAAGAAAAACATAGCTATTTATAATTACTATTCATGGTAGTCATTTTGATTTTAGAAATTAGATAAAAGTATATTTTGCTGTTTATCATTTTATAATTATATTTTAGAAAAAGAGAATTGCTCAATAAAACATGTAACTGCAAAAAGTGACTATCTTATTTATGGCATTTGTATGAGTTTGTTTTGCTGATTTTATTTATTAGTCTTATAACAAAATGATTTTTACTAACTAGCCACTTAATTGAAAATGTTACCAGAGTCACTGTTTTTAATTATTTATATTTACATTTAATTATTTTTATATATTTTAGCAACATCCTGCACATTAGAGTTATCCCAACAGAATGTGTTCTTAAAGCTGTTAATCTAAAATGTATGGCCCTTTAAAATATAGTAATAGTGTTCGAATGTCCTCTACCTACAGCTGTGCGCAACTTTGGGTACCACATCCACCTGTGCATTCGATAACCTCTCTGAACTTGGGCCTCTGTGTGAGTAAATCATTTTTGGCAAATTATTATATGGTATCTGGTCAATAACCCCAAAACATAAATCTCCAACCCCCCACCCCCACAACAACCCCATCCCCATTCATTTATTTGTTTACATTTTTTCATATTTAAGATATGAAATCATCTGATTATAAACATCATAGCCTGTTAGTGGGTTTTTTTTTGCCATTGGAGTATATTTGTAATGAATCCAAAGAATGAAGATTTATAATAAAAATATTAACTAAATTATACTTAAACTAACTTCACTTTGGTTAGACGTAATGAACAGTTATACTTTAGAAAATATACATCAGTTCAGCCTAAATTTTTCAAATAATATATATATATATCAAAATGTTTGCCATTTTGCATTAGAAAACAGGGTTAGTTTATAGACTAATGTTAAATATTATTAAAGATAAAATTTAGAGTTCTTAAACTGCTAACTTTGTAAATACAGGTGATAAGCATGATATATGGCTGCATGTGGATGCTGCTTATGCTGGAAGTGCTTTTATATGTCCAGAGTTTAGGCAACCACTCAATGGAGTTGAGGTCAGATTTAGTGCTTTTTAAAACATTTAAAAAAAATTATAATAAACATATTTTTGCATTTTCTATTTTTGGTGATGGAAATTGTAAGTGAAAATTTATCAGACATACTGCTGATAAAACACATTTGATTGTTGAATGCAAGTAGCAGCTAAATCACCAGTAGCAATACATTTGAACCATTTACAAGTTTTGCTTAATTCTAGTGAAAAAGCTTTTAAAAACAATTCTGAATATTACTGAGTTTTCCTATATAATTATGTAATTGTTTACAGTATGCTACGTCTTTTAACTTCAATCCTCACAAATGGTTGCGTGTCAACTTTGATTGTGCTGCAATGTGGTTAGTTACCTGAATTTTAAAAATTCGTATTTATATTGAATTTAATCTTTATTTGTTGTTTGACATAATAAACTTGAAATTTATGTAATATTTATGAAAAATAGTTGATTTTGATTAAATAATTTAAGATTTTAACACTTTTATTTTTCAATTTCTAGTTCAGTAGTGTCTTAAATAAAAGCTTGATTAACATAACTAATTTCATTAAAAAAATTAAATTAAATTAACTTATTTTTAAAAAAATTATATAAAATCTGTTTGCTGATTTAGTTACCATTTACAGCCCATTAACTTAGCTTAAATTATATTTGTAAATATTGCTTATTACAATTCATAGGATTAAAGATGTAAATCTTGTCAGTGGAGCCTTTGAAGTAAATCCTCTATACTTAAAGCATGAAAACCAAGGAAACTCCATGCCAGACTACAGGGTATTTTACACATTAAATTAAATTTCTCTTTGAGCAAACAGCCATTGCTGTCTATGGTAAGTGAATGGGATTTTTGTTGTGAGCACTTTTGTCATATGCCACTTTACTACAAATATTTATATGGGTCTTGGATAAAAAAAACCTGCCCATTAACTTCTGGTTTTAATCATCTCCCTAAGAGATTAAGAGTATGTTACTGGCAAAGTCAACATTCAGTGAAAAAAACAAATCATCGTTAGTACTTTTTATCTTAGTTTTTTTGGATACCAATAGTTGGAGCCTGTATAGGGTATAATAAGCTTATTCATTGAAAGAAACATTGTGGATGTGGGGGGAGGTAATGTCTTACCCAATTTTGTGTGTATGAAAGGGGATATGATGGAGTTAAATGTCTTATCAATTTATATATTTGTTGAATCTAATTTGTATCCATGTTTAAAATAAAATGTACACCTTTTACTTTGAAGTTGGTTGTTTAATTATTGAATATAAATTCAGCACTGGCAGATCCCATTTGGTAGAAGATTTAGATCTCTCAAGCTGTGGTTTGTTCTTCGAATGTTTGGTGTTAAAGGATTACAAGAACAGATTAGAAAGGTATTTAATATTACCTCACTTAATTTTGTGCTTAATTTTGTGTCAGATAAAAAATAATTTGAGAAAACTTTAAAAGTAAATATCTAGAAAATAATAAAATTAGCTAAGGTCATTATTGGTATTTTGGTCATGTTGAAATTGATTTAAAAAGATCTTCTATTAAAAAATATCTAAATATTTATTTCAATTAATCTTGAAATTTGTAAATTTAGTTCGTACGTGTAATCATTTTTAAAAATATTCTAGGATGTATCACTAGCTCATCAGTTCAAAGCTCTGGTAGAAAGTGATCAAAGATTTGAAATAGTAAGAAAAGTGACTCTTGGGCTCGTTTGCTTTCGGCATAAAGTAAGTCCTCTGTGATGGTCTTACACTACTCATTTTTTAACGAAGTTTGTAAAACATTTATTTGCTTGTTAAAAATGTGAATGATAGCTACTGCTTAGTTGTTGTTTTTTTGTTGCTAAGCACCATGATTAAGTGTCACGTGGGGGCTGTATTATGTCAAGGTATTATTTTGCCAGTTAGTGTGTTGGTATCACAATAAGTAAAGCAGTACCTGCAAAAAGTACCTTTATTATACTCAGTGGGTAATCAGAGCATGCCACCTTCACTCGTTAAAAAAATCTTACTACTAGATTTTACCTTGGGCTTTTTTTTACCTAGTTCCTTTTGTTCACTATACAATATATGTTGTGCTTGTTATTACTACTCTTACTTGGCTACTATTTAGTGTATATGACCAGAAGCCCCAGTGGGTGGGGAAAATAATCTGTATAAAGCCCCTAATTTTAATGTTTCAAAATTTTTTTTACCTATCAAACTCTGGCTTTGTTAGAATACGGGAAAGCTATTTCATCTAGGATATTCATGCATGATCATGAACAGCTTGTAACAATATAGAAAATATAGATTTTTAAATAAATGCATGCATCTTTCCTAGGGTTCTAACGAACTGAATGAAGTACTGTTGAAGAAGATAAATAATGATCGCAGAATCCACCTTGTTCCATCAAAGATTAAAGAGACATATTTTCTAAGATTTGCTGTCTGTGCTAGTAGCACCAAGGCTTCAGATGTCAATTATGCTTGGGCTGTTATTAAAGAACTTTGTGATAATTTGTAGATAAAAAACACAAATGTTTATGGTTGATAAAGACACTATGAATTAAGAAATAAAGTAAGCATATTGCTAAATGTTGTGTTTTTGTAATTAAAATGTTTATCTGAATAATTAAGTTGCATTGTATTACTTTTATTAATTAAATTAGAAAATAATTCAATGCTTGAACAAAGGCTTTGGAAGCAAATCCAGTAAAAACAGGCTAAAATCTGAGTCAACAAATTTAAAGGCTCCTAACAAGTTGAAACGTAAAGCTTATTTGGGAAGAATTGTTTTGAAGGAAATCCCGTCTAACATTACAATCACACACGCAGAAGAAATGGCAAACACATTTGTTTTGGATGAGATACTTTATGTACGTAAAAAACTCAACTAATATCCAATATTTAATTTACTCTCAAATTTTTGGATGAACATATTGTATACATAGCCGAGTGTAACAACACGTATTTCTTGTTTGTATTACAATAATAAAACAGTGCTTTGTAACTTCAAAATTTATTTACATAGATCCATAAGAAACAAATACAATAATTCACAGTAGAAGAAATGACTATTACATTATAGTCTAGAACAAATTGACATGGTGACATCTTACATCTTACTACACAGTCACAGGCAAGCACACTTAGTTCACCTTGCGCTCCCCCTTTTATACACCACTTTCTTTCCCCTTACGTCAATGAGCGATCTCACAAAAGCATGAAAAAATACATGACGAGTCGCTCTGACAGTCCTTCCGTTAGCCAGGTACTCTACATTCATGCAACTTCATGTAAAACACAATAAAATAAACATACCCAATAATACAGTTTGTGACACCGAATAATAATATTTGTAAGTAAAATACTGTACAAAAAAATCACGGCTTTATTTGATTAATCATATTTCCCCAAAACTCTTCCGTGTCCTCATACCACAAACAACGGTAATTCTGGTTTCTGATGTAGGTCACGATCTCTACGGGCCAGGTGTTGACCTGAAAGTGACCCACAAAAACAGGCACGATGATCCTATCAGAACAATTCATTTCGTGCATGATGGCCAGGTTCATCTCGAGTTCCCGGTTCCTGTCTTCAAAGATATCTCGCGAGAGTAGGATGAGAGTCTTTCTTGTACCGGCAATGGCGCCAGCGATGTTGTTTTGTTGTGGGCCTGCAGGGAAGTCGTCCTCGCCGATAACATAAGTCACATGGTTCTGTTTCAGACGTGGGATGAAAACATTTCGTGCCAGACGAATGTATTCTGGCTCCTGGAATATTTTTGACAATATTTTAGTTCATGTTGTATATTTTTTTTACATTATTTAAACAACCACTTTTGTATATTAGCTTTAATTGTAAACACTTCAATAAATGTATTGAGGCAACAAAAATATTTATCCTTTATTCAATCTATTCATTAAGCTGATTCTGGCCAATAGCAGAAAAAAACATGCCAGTTAATAGCAAAACAATCTCTTTAATTAAAAATGAACAGATATATTGCTTAAATTTAGTTTTATTTATACTCTTGTACAGGCAAAACACTTTCATTTAACATTGAACTGCGAACGTTATATAACTTTTATAAAATTAAATTAGCCTTTTACAACTAGTGCGCAATGATCTTTATGGCTCTTATTTAATTGGTATTTTCAAATTGTATGAGTTTTTAAAACTTTACCTGTTCATAGGTTATAAAAACATCAGCAACTGGTTTATATGCTAATGAGATATTGCCGATGTGAAGTTTCTTTGATCCAATGTAATAGAGATAAGCAAATTTCCATCTGTTGTAATAAAACATGGCCGACAACAAGACAGTGCCGAGAACGATGAAAAACGTAACGAGAGTTCCAATGAAAATTTCCTGTGAGACACAGCTCTTCATTAACTGAGGATAGAATGTTGCCAGTTGGTCATGTGATAAGATGGAGCCGTCAGCTGTGGTACAGTTGATGGAGTCTACACTATCAAATATGTCTGGGTCGGTGATTAGAAGATGGACAAACGACAGGTACTTGCAAGTACACATCAAGCGATTAAACTGGATTCTAATATTAAAATTTGTGTTTTTGGCTTTCTGTTGTTTTAAATCTTGACACATTTTATCAGAAAATCCTGAAATTAAATTACCGGTTAAATCAATAACCTCAATTTTGGTAACTGTAATTATATCTATGTCGAAATCTGTTAGTTCGTTTCTAGAGAGATTTAAATATTTTAAATTGATGTTATTCTCAAAGACATTTCTAGATAAAGATGTTATAGTGTTGCCGCTGATGTTCAATGTCTCCAATCTGGTCAGAGTTGAGAAAGCTATTCCTGAAGTGTCATTGGCCAAAATAGGACCAAGAAGGTTGTCTTGTAGAAGAAGTGTCGTCAAATTTGTAAGATATTTGAAAAATATTAAATTCATTTTTGTACAATAATTTTTGGATAAGTCAAAATACTCTAGAGCTGGTAGTCCATTCATGGGCCCTCCCCAGCACCTGGCCATGTTGTTTGAGTAGTCCATGTATCTGAGTACTGTATTGTTTAAAATTGTTATGGCAGGGATGGAGTATTCAACTTTCATCGACCCGCTAATTAAAACTTCTAGAGTTGGTGGAAGAGCATAGTAAATCATGCGTCTTATTTTAGTTGTTGTTATATTTATCCCAAGCGTAGTCTTATAATTTGTAAAAAATTCCGATGAATATTTCCCACAAAATTTTTCTCCAATACTGGCGATATTAGTAGAAACAGATTCAATATTTGTATATCTTTCTGGATCAGTCTTATTCTTTAGTATAGTATATTGATTTTGGAAGCTTGTATCAATAGTTTTAACTTGCCGCAAAGATAAAATTGCAAAAAGGAAATAACCCCTGGATATTACATTCCTCCTCAGTGATAGATATTCGAGAGTTGGCGGCAAATCATCAAAAGCAAAAATATGTACACTATAGATTCTGTTACCCGACAGATCTAAATATTTGAGAGGAGTGTTTTTTAAATGTCTAAACATGTGTCTCGTTATCACATTATAATCGATCCCGTCTTTGTCAATGCCATGTAAATTTAAAGATTCTATGTTTGAGCCGTTTAGAGATTCGGATCCATTTTTAAAACCTTTGAACGTAATGCGATTTTTTGAAATGTCGAGATTACGGAGATTTCTGATAGGACTGAATAGTCGTGGTGGCAAATACGACATATAGCAAACTGATAGCGCTATCGTCATAGGTCGAAGTGAAACGATGTTCTCGAAAAAATTGTCAGGCATAGTCGATCCCATATTGCAATATGAACATATCAATAGTTTTATAATTATGCCCTCTAACTTATCTAAGTTTCTAAATCCAGGTCCTAAAGGAACAGGGTAACCGTCAATGTTTATTTCTCTAAGATTTTTTAATTTAGAAATTGCTTGATCTGGGTATATCGCATTATCTATAATTTGACTGTTGCATTCTAAATGTAAGATTTCAAGTTGATCTAGTCCGTTAAATGCATCTAATTCAAATGTTGAATTTAAATAACTTAAATTGTTCCTCATTAAGGAGAGCCATTTTAACGAATGCAGACCATAAAAAGTGTTATTAAAAATGTGATAGAGTTTATTAAACGATAAGTCCAAGTAGCTCAGCTGCGTAAGGTTGCTGAAGAAAAATGACTGGATATTGTTGATGTTGTTCAGGCTTAAATCCAACCTCGTCGTTTGTGGAGGTAAGTCTGGAATTTTCTGTAGCTGTCTGTTGGAGCAGTCTACATTAAATTGCTGCGTGGTTTTGTCTTCAGTACAATAGCACTGTGTGGGACACATTATTTCTTTTCTTTCTTGTCTCAAAGCCTCATTGAAATTTTCCGTTGTCTCTGAGGTTAAAGTTTGTATTGGTGTGATACAAATTAACCAGACCACAATGGACGAGTTCACACAACTTTTTAAAGACGACATCTCTGTTCTTGTATACCACCTAAGATTAAATGCATATATCGTACTGTTATTAATATCCACTTTTAAAATATATCTATTAACACTAGACAAATGGCCCGTGGAGGGAGAAACACAAAGGGCACTAAGTTGATAGAGTTTTCTTTTATTCTAAATCGAATGAAAAAACAAACACCCCTCCGCAACCTTAAATGTAACCGGAAAAGAAAAATGTCATTGAAAACGGATGTTTATCCAGGATCGTCATTTTAATCGGTTCCGGAAATTCACTTGAAATAAACACATAATAACCGTAACCTTAATCCTAATACAAACGCTTACTCATATTTTTTTTTAATATCTACATTTAATTCTAAAATTTCGACAATTAAATATTGCGGTTAACTATTTAGACCTCTATTATCAATGACGTCATTATTATTGTGTATTGTTTTCGGCTTTCGATTCTTAATTAGTGTACAGACGCTAAATCTAGACATTACCACAACACTTTATCTGGTAACATTGATCTACACGTAGTTATTACACATTCATACAAAATATAGTCGTAGATCATACCCCTTAACCTTGCACCCAAACTCAAACTTGACAAAAGTCGCATTTAAAGTTTCTTTCGGGCATCGCTGGGGTGAGGGGGGGGGGGGTCGAAAAACGTCTACCGCCCCCTCGAACGAAATAGGATTTATATAGGAAATATATACTTTTACCAGTATCCGCCATGTTAAATTCAATTTTCGTTTGAGACGGTCTCTCCATCTATTTGCTTACTACTCGCCACAGTTTGTTACGATCGAACTTTCGTACAACAAACATGTTTTCAAGGCACTGTTCATACCTTTATTTGACTAGTCATCTTTATCATTACGCCACAAGCACTCGCCCCTTGTCGCTACTAACAAAAGCTCATTTACACTCGTTCTCTCCAGCTTTCGTAGTCGCATTCGACCTTTGGGATAACAATACCTCAACACACCTGGGTTGACAATACACTGGGTTTAACTCAACGCACACACGCCTCTCCCGTACGTTCTAGACTATTCTAACCTATTCTAATGTAACCTACAAATGACCCATAACATGCCCCCTCTCCCCCTCCCCAGAAAATTTCAAGTTCCCCCCCCCCCCACTGAGACAAAAAAGTCTGAAAGAAACATAGGTCGCATTTGTTGATTATACAGACTAAAAATAAACCATACATCTATAATTTAGACTCGTTTCCTATTTTTAACCCCTAAACTTCAACCATGCAGGTAGTGTTTCTTTCTTTAAATGACGTCACACCTCAGCCTACAACCCCACTCTAAATTGCAGTTGCATTTTTCTTAATTAAAACATCGATATTTTTCCAAAATCTTGTCTGAACTCTGTCATTATAGAGCATTTTAATCAATTCCTATTACAATTTATTAAAATAGTTTTCTAAAACGTGAAATAACCGCTAAAAATAGTTTTATAACATTGCTTTTTTATAAAGCAAAAGTGTGACGTCATACCATCTGAACCCCCCCCCCCCCCTTACGCATTACAAGAAATAACTGACCTCCTCCCTTCTAAGAGTGTGATAACTTTTATGGACGACCACTGATACGTTGGAGTTAACACAGTTGTCCCATCGTTCTTATTATCCCACATTGCCCACCTTAATAATGTTATTTTTTTCCTTTAATGAGTTATTAACAATTAACATATACAATAATACTTAAAATTTGATCTTTTAGATTTTAGTATATCTTTGATTAAAATGTAATCCTTTAGAGTTTAGTATGTCTCTGAACACTTTTAAAAGAACGATGTTATTTTACAATTTATTGTACGACGTAAATTCAAAATAAAAAAAATTGAAGCATTTGCTTTTAATTCAACGTCTAAAACATTTAAAAATTACACATAAAAAACATTAATACAACAATAACATTTGCATGTTCTTTGTTTTGTTATTCAATTCCCTGTTTCAAGAATTTGTAAATATTCACATCAACTTTTCAAAAAGAAAAAACCTCATTTGAAATTTAAGATTATTTACCATTTATCTAATTTATAGACTGTCATACTAACACAGATTAGTTTATAAATTCTTAATACAAGGCTTAACTATATTGGACCATATGTTTAAGGCTTTTATTCGACAACAATTTGAAGTCTTATAAGCTCGTATTTCATGTTTTTGTTTTGGTAGAATTGCATTAAAAAGTAAAACGTTTTTTTCTTATTGTTAAAAATGATTTACCTGTCTTCGCGTCTGCGTGTTTCAAATAAAGGGCGTCCTTGTAATATTGGTTGTTTACCGATGTGTTATATTAGTCATCGTATTTTTACATTAGCTTCTGAACTCGTTTGTCCGGTACCTCCCGTCATGCTTCGTAGAGAAATACTCTCAAGCAATGTTAACATATTCTTTAGTGTCAGGTGAACGGTAGGATTTGTTTTTTCTTTTTTTCTTTTCTTTAAAAAAAAACCCAATAACATGTTTTACCCGCTAAGAGTAACTACATCCACGTAAAACTCTAAAGACGTTGTTCATTGACTTTCCTTAAAAAATATAAGATCGGATTTCCCACCATCTGTATTCTAAAGGACTGCCATATTCTTTAAAAAAACTTTGGCCCAAATAATATGTTTTGATTCAATATTCATCGGCGAGCTTTAAATATTTAAAAAAATTCAATTATATTCGCAATGTTTTTTTTATCTATGTTAAATGCCATGTAAGGCTCGTCAAAGTTTAAAATAAATTGTATTTCATACGCTGTCTATGCATTCTATACAATGCGGAACATTTATTTCATCATGTGGTTTAAAAATCGTAATTATTTACATTTTTAATTGAAATGTAAAATGCCATGTCCATTATTTATTTGTCTTTAAAGAACAATTTCTCTCAAAAATAGTCTCGTCACTAGTAAATAATGCATGTCACATAAATTTTATATTCTCACAATCTAATAGTGTCGAGTTGTGAAAGAACAATATATTCTATCTTTACCTAAAAATTAACTACTTTTATCAAATGTTTTCTAAAAAAAATATAAATAATAAAAAAAAAACACACAGATAATTTGTGAATGGAGAGATTTTTTGAGATTTAGATCGTCTTAGAATTTGCAAAATTAAAAAATATTTTTACTACTTATTATAATCTTAATTAATGTGTTGCTATAAAAAAGGATTTTTATTGTTGTTGTCTGTTAAATAAAGTAAACAAAATCAAACACATCTCCTTACCCCACTTAATAAAAATGAGAGTCAATGAACATTAACATTAGATTGACGTGGGGTTTATCCACAGCAACTTCTTGTGCTTTGGTCTATTTTGTTTTGTGTAAGATGAATAAAAAAAAAGACAAAAGCTGCCTACTTGTACGGTTTTCCCGACAACTTTACAATTTAACTATAAAGATTTTAATTCGCCGACTATTTAAAACGTCGCTTTGTGCCAATTAACCTATTTTTAAGGGTTTTCCCGAATGATGGGTTTTATATTTTCTCCATGCTACGCTTGAAGTCAAGGGGATATTACTAAAAATTGCAAAATCAAAGTAAGAGCTAGTAAAAGGAGGGTATAGCCTACATAATCAGTGCATGTTTGAACATTTTTCTTTATCGTCATAAAAAAAGCATGAGTGTTACAATTGTAAACATTCTATATCGAAAAAGGAAGCCAAGTGGTCAAAGAAAACGAAGAAACGCAAAAAAGAAAAAAGAAAAAATACCGGGAGTTATCACCACTACGCTTTCTCGTAAATTACCAATTTTACACAGAATAGAATCGCCAATTTAAAAAAAAAACTGCTCATCCAATGAACGTAAGCAAAGTACGTGAACGTGAAAAGTGTGCTTTATAAAGGAAAAATTGATGAATTAAAAAAAAATGATGTAGCATCTAATTCAGCCAAATTATTCTCATAACATAAACGTTACTCAAGTTATTAGTTTTTCAGAAAACGGAAGTTCAGCAAGTACCACTTCCTTTACCGGAAATCGTTCAAAAGTTGATGCAAAACTACAAATGTGATATGAATACCTATACATGAAATTTTATCAACATAACTAAAAAGACACTTAAGTTATCGAGTTCACAGTCACACAGACACTGACACAGACACGCAGACACACACACACACACACACATACACACACGCTGAAGGACATACAGACATATTTTCAAAATTAAGATTGTCTCACTTATTGAAGCCTAAATCGCCGAGATTTATCGAAATTTCGATTTTGATTTTTTCCACGATTACAATACTTCTTCTATACTCTACACTTCGTAAAAAATATAATCATAAATTATCTTTGTAAGGATGTGGAACAATTCAAATTTCGTCTGAAATCACATAGGTCTAATTTTTACTGTTTGAATATACAAGACTGTCATTTCTGATGTCTGAATTAATTAACAAGCATGCCATTGCTATTGTTTTTAAAAACTACATGGGGTACTGAACGATGAAGAACGACAATGAACATCAGATATTTAAACTTATGCCTAATGTAATGCTTTATCTGTCCACAATAACTTAGAAATCTTATAACTGTAAAATGATCTTCTGCTATGCATGACCAAATGACACTAACCAAATAGCATTTCTTAATAAAGTTTGTTTGTAGACGCAGATTTTATTTGCGATCAGACTCCTCCAATGTTTATTCAAAAACCGCAAGCGTACTATAATACGCTTCATTACACCAGTGCGTTTTACATGGCACGCTCTATGTACTTTACAGGCGGACCTGACTCCACACACCCGCAAGTGTACTATAAAATTAATGTTCCTATTTCAATGTTAAGCTAGTCATATCCGTTCCCCATCCGCTTTTTATTGCCAACACGGTCTTTAAAATCCACGCATATAAAGCACTGCTTGCAGACGTATGAATGGGGAGGTTTTATTTGAAAAGTTGCATGGGGATTTCCTTAAAAAAAACAACATCTTCATACTTAACATCAATGACACTTTTGTAGGGAACGTCCTTATTATTTTAAAAGCCATGTTATTTGATTATTTGAATGTAATTTCTGTATTTTGACGTTTAGCTGGCATGAACACCTGCAAATCTCAAGTACGCGTTAGTAAAATGAATATTAATCTTTTAAGTTTAAGCAGTAAAAATAGAAATAATGTACTAAGTTTAAGATTAAAATGCATTTTTGTATCTTCTTCAAATAAGATATTTTCAAGTAATAATGTTGAATAGATTTTCAAATTTCACAAGCACTTTTTTCGGTATCTTTTTCGTATTTACTTTTATTAATTTTTATTCGTTATACAGCACCATCAAAAATGTAACTTGGGCTTATCTATCGCAACTTCTCGTACTTAGGTCTAATTCTTTATTTGACGTAGCCTTAAAAACATCAGGGTCGCCTTAATGTGGTGATGAGGATCTTCTTTAAAATACATATAATTAAGCTATTTTAATTTTAAGCATTTTTTGTTTAAAAATATTATTAATTAAAGTTACGAATTCTAAAATACCTCACAGCATTTGGAAGTTTAACGTTTTCATGAAATAGTTTATTTATATCAGTTTTAGAAATTTACAAGGAAAATCCTCATTAACATTTTGATATAATTCCAGTATGACAACGCTCTTCGAGGTAACTGTGGGGGGGGGGGAAGGGTACATATGCCCCAGGCGCCGACCTTAGGGGGCGCCAAAATGGGTTGGAAAAACAAATTGAAAGTTTAAAGGGTGGGTGCAAATTGAAAGTTTGTTTGAGGGTGGGGGGGGGGGGGGGGGGGGGGAGAGTACTTATGTCCCCAATCGCCGACCTTAGGGGGCGCAAAAATGGGTAGGAAAAACAAATTGAAATGGGGGGGGGGTGCACATTGAAAATTGAAAGGCTGTTCCCTAGGGGGGCGCTAAATTGAAAGTTTGTCCCCGGGCGCAGGAAAGGGTCGGTACGTCTCTGAGCCTCTTAATTGAAAATGTTTTACCAGAGTCACTGTTTTTATATATTGTAGCAATAAATCGTCGGTGACAATCATAAGACATACTGCTGATAATATATTTTAGGCTACATGTTCTAGTTCCCAAGTGATAAAATATAGCAAACCAGTAACCACAAAAAAAGCTTTCTATGAATATTTGACTAGTACAGATACTTGTTATTCCTATAAATCTTTCTTTTATGTAATACGTAACATCTTCATCCCATTGTAATCACCAAGGTACATCTAATCATCAACATCATTATCATTTTAGCAGCTGCTTTTTTTTAGTTGAGAGGTACATGAGAGGTGTTATTAAGGGAAGGAGAAAGGGTTGCATGTAGAATTATGTGGAGAGTTTATATAGATATAAAAATGTATAATTTCTAAAAGAAGTGTAGCATCCCTACATCGGAGATAGGTAAGGGCACACCTTAATGCAAATAAAAATGTAGGGATAATCAAAAGAAGCATGTTTTAAAGTTAAATATTACCAACTGAGAAAAGCTATCAATTTTACTTCGTTCATTGATGATAGGTTAAGTGTACAAACATATCTCACTGACGTATTTGATTTATCAACATTTCCCAAAACTCTTCCGTGTCCTCATACAACAAACAACGGTGATTCTGGTTTCTGATGTAGGTCACGATCTCTATGGGCCAGGTGTTGACCTGAAAGTGACCCACAAAAACAGGCACGATGATCCTATCCGAACAATTCATTTCGTGCATGATGGCCAGGTTCATCTCTAGTTCCCGGTTCCTGTCTTCAAAAATATCTCGCGAGAGTAGGATGAGAGTCTTTCTTGTACCAACAATGGCGCCAGCGATGTTGTTTTGTTGTGGGCCTGCTGGGAAGTCGTCCTCGCCGTTAACGTAAGTCACGTGGTTCTGTATCAGACGTGGGATGAAAACATTTCTCGCCAGAAAAATGTATTCTGGCTCCTGGAATATTTTTGACAATATTTTAGTTCATGTTGTATATTTTGTTACATTATTTAAACAACCACTTCTGTATACTAGCTTCAATAATAAACACTTTAATAAATGTATAGAGGCATCAAAAATATTTATCCTTTATTCAATCTATTCATTGAGCTGATTCTGACCAATAGAAAAAATGTAAAAAAACAAACATGCCAGTTAATAGTGAAACAATCTCTTTAATTAATAAACCGGGAGTGATCTCCCCTAAACTTTTTCGAATATCTATATATATAATTCTCTTCTGGGAGCCGTTAGAAAACAAGCTGCAAGCGCCTCCTTGCAGTCCCCTCTCTTTCTCTCTATCACTATCACTACCACCCCCACCCCACCCCCAAATTGTCTGGTGAGCAGTGTTCACTCTAAATGTATACAAAGCTAAATGTTTACAAATCGTAGAGCCGTAGAGCCGGGTTTCTACTAGGGGCAGATAATTTAGTTCGATTTTAAACTTACAGGAGGTAACTAAGAAATAACTAAGAGGAGGCTGCTTTCACGGGGGGGGGGGGGGGGTGTAGGGTCGGGGTTAGGGGAAAGGGGGGGGGGGGTTAGTGTTTTAAAGCAAATATTTTCAGTGGCAGCATTGGTACTGTCGAATTCGCAAATTATGAATTACTGAAACGTAGAAAATAAAACAACTAAATAGCGGCGTATGATACGCTGCGGGTCGGCTCGTTCTTATATAAAACAACAGGGGAACTCGGAATATAGTTATGATTTTTAATCCATTTAAAATCCAGAGTTAAACTTTTAAAAATAGAATAGATTCTCTTTTAAAAAAATAATTGCGCACCAAGCGAACGCCGAATAAAGATGTGTATAATAGTGCGGAATATTATTAGTACTTTATTAATTCACATGCGTTTTTTGATAAATCGGAAATAGCGTAAATTAGTACTTCCGTTCAACGGAAATTAATAAAAATTTGACAGAAAGTAGAGAATTAGATCTTTTACTTACGTGTGAAATTTCATTTATCTATCTGGAATAGTACTCAAGTTATAGGCTTTTGAAAAATTCAAAGTAGAAAAAGTAACACTTTCGGTTAACGGAAATCGCTCAAAAGTTGATACGGATTTACGATTTTGATAAAATACTTATATATGAAATTTCATCAAGCTAGCTGTAACGGTACTCAAGTTATCGTGTTTACACACAGACAGACACGCACACACACAGACATACCGACAGAATTGCAAAGTCCAGTTTTTCCGATTCAATAACGCATAAAACACCAAATGTTTATATATTTGTATTTATAATTTTCGACTGATTAAAATAAGTTCTCTATATTCCGGATGTGATGAAAGACTGAGGTGTAAAACGGTGAAAATTGTCATAATTTCATGTCATTTTTGTGCACGATTACAAGACTTTCTCTATACTTCGTATATACGAGAAAGTAAAAATGAACAGATATAATGCTTAAATTTAGTTTTATTTATACTCTTGTACATGCAAAACACTTTCATTTAACATTGAACTGCGAACGTTTTATAACTTTTATTAGAATTAAATTAGCCTTTTAAAACTAGTGCGCAATGATCTTTATGGCTCTTATTTAATTGGTGTTTTTAAATTGTAAGCGTTTTTAAAACTTTACCTGTTCATAGGTTATAAAAACACCAGCAACTGGTTTATATGCCAATGATATATTGCCGATGTGAAGTTTCTTTGATCCAATGTAATAGAGATAAGCAAATTTCCATCTGTTGTAGTAAAACATGGCAGACAATAAGACGATGCCGAGAACGATGAAAAATGTAACGAGAGTTCCAATGAAAATTTCCTGTGAGACACAGCTCTTCATTAACTGTGGGTAGAATGTTGCCAGTTGGTCATGTGATAAGTTGGAGCCGTCAGCTGTGGTACAGTTGATGGAGTCTACACTATCGAATATGTCTGGGTGGGTGATCAGAAGATGGACAAACGACATGTACTCACAAGTACACATTAGACGATTGGACTGGATTCTAATTTTAAAATTTGTGTTTTTGGATTTCTGTTGTTTTAAATCTTGACACATTTTATCAGAAAATCCCGAAATTAAATTAGTGGTTAAATCAATAACCTCAATTTTGTTAAATGTTTTTAAATCTATGTCGAAATCTGTAAGTTCGTTTCTAGAGAGATTTAAATATTTTAAATTGATGTTATTCTCAAACACATTTCTAGATAAAGATGTTATAGTGTTGCCACTGATGTTTAAGGTCTCCAATCTGGTCAGTGTTGAGAAAGCTATTCCTGAAATGTCAATGGCTAAACTTATACCAAGAACGTTGTCTTGTAGAAGAAGTGTCGTTAAGTTGGTAAGGTATTTGAAGAACGTCAAACTCATTTTGGTACAATAATTCTCGGATAAGTCGAGATATTGTAGAGCTGGTAGTCCATTCATGGGCCCTCCCCAGCACCTGGCCATGTTGTTTGAGTAGTCCATGTATCTGAGTACTGTATTGTTTAAAAATGTTATGGCAGGTATGAAGTACTCGACTTTCATCGACCCGCTAATAAAAACTTCTAGATTTGGTGGAAGAGCCAAGTAAAGAGTGCGTCTTATTATAGTTCCTATATTTTTCACAAGCATATTTTTATAGCTTCGTACGACATTATTATTTGTAATAAGCTCCGCTGAATATTTTTCACAAAAATCTTTTCCATAGTTACCAATATTAGTAGAACCGAATTCAAGATTTTTATCTTTCTCGAAGTAAGTATCATTTCTAAATCTCCTGTATTGAGTTTGGAAGCTCAAATCGATAGTTTTTAAATTCCGCATAAATAAAATAGTCAAAAGAAAATCGAACTTCGATATTACATTATGCTTTAATGATAAATATTCGAGAGTCTGCGGCAAGTCCCTAAAAGCAAAAGCATCTACACTATAGATTCTGTTCACAGACAAATCTAAATATTTGAGAGGAGTATTTTTTAAATGATGAAACATGTGTCTTGTAATCTCGTTATAAACATATCTGTCCTTTTCAATGCCATGTAAATTTAAAAACTCTATGTTTGAACCGCTCAGTGATTTGGATCCATTTTTAAAACCTTTCAACGTAAAACGATTTTTCGAAATGTCGAGATTACGGAGATTTCTGATAGGGCTGAATAGTCGTGGTGGCAAATACGACATATAGCAAACTGATAGCGCTATCGTCATAGGTCGAAGTGAAACGATGTTCTCGAAAAAATTGTCAGGCATAGCCGATCCCATATTGCAATATGAACAATAAATTAATGTTCTTATAAATATACCCTCTAATTTCTCTAAGTTTCTAAATCCAGGTCCTAAAGGAACAGGGTAACCGTCAATGTTTATTTCTCTAAGATTTTTTAATTTAGAAATTGCTTGATCTGGGTATACTATATTATCTTTGCTTGGACTGTTGCATTCTAGATGTAAGACTTCAAGTTGATCTAGTCCGTTAAATGCATCTAATTCAAATGTTGAATTTAAATAAATTAAATTGTTCCTCATTAAGGAGAGCCATTTTAACGAATGCAGACCATAAAAAGTGTTATTAAAAATGTGATAGAGTTTATTAAACGATATGTCCAAGTAGCTTAGCTGCGTAAAGTTGCTGAAGAAAAATGACTGGATATTGTTGATGTTGTTCAGGCTTAAATCCAACCTCGTCGTTTGTGGAGGTAAGTCTGGAATATTCTGTAGCTGTCTGTTGGAGCAGTCTACATTAAACTGCTGCGTGGTTTTTTCTTCAGTACAATAGCACTTTGTGGGACACATTATTTGTTTTCTGTCTTGTCTCAAAGCCTCATTGTAATTTTCCGTTGTCTCTAAAGTTAAAGTTTGTATTGGTGTGATACAAATTAACCAGACCACAATGGACGAGATCACACGACTTTTTAAAGACGACATCTCTGTTCTTGTATACCACCTAAGATTAAATGCATATACCGTACTGTTATTGATATCCACTTTCAAAATATTTTTGTTAACACTAGATAAATGAACCGTTGGGGGAGAAACACAAAGGGGGCTTTTTCTTCTAAATCAAAACCGAAACCAAAAGCAAACACCCCACCGAAACCTCAAATTGAACCGGAAACGAAAAATTTAATTGAAAACAGATGTTTATCAAGGATCGGCTTTATAATCGGCTCCGGAAATTGAACTTGAAATAAAACACCTAATAACCCTAATCTTAATCCTAATACAAACGTCTACTCTATATACTGCTTTTTTGCATATGTACATTAACTTCTAAAATTTTGACAATTAAATAAGGCGGTTAATTATTTTGGCCTCTATTATCAATCACGTCATTATTATTGGGTATTGTTTTCGGCATTCGATTCTTGGTTCTATTTTTTAAATTAAAAAACCCAAAGACGGCACTCTATCTTGTGTATAGACGCTAAATCTAGACATTGCCACAATACTTTATCTGGTAGCCTTGATCTACACGTAGTTATTACACATTCATACACAATATAGTCGTAGATCATACCCCTAAACCTTGCAATTGATTTTTTCGATATTTTTTCCAAAATCTTGCCTGAACTCTGTCAACGTAGAGCATTTTAATCAATTCCTATTACAATTAATTAAAACAGTTTTCTAAAACGCGAAATAACAGCTAAAACTCGTTTTCCAACATTGCTTTTTTTTATAATGCAAAATTACGGACCCCCTCGCCAATAATAGTGTGATAACATTTATGGACGACCACTTATACATTGTAGTTAACACAGTTTTCCCATCGTTCTTATCCCAGCGTGCCCACCTTGATAATGTTACAAGATTTTCCTTTAATGAGTTATTAACAATTAACATATACAATTATTAAAATTGGATATTTTAGGTTTTAGTTGATTAAAATGTAATCCTTTAGTTTTATTATATATTTTAACACTTTTAAAAGAATTGATGTTATTTAAAAATTTATTGTGCGACGTAAATTCAAAATAAGCAAATGCACGTTCTTACTTTTCCCCTTTTATTATTTAGTAACAAAAACTAACAACGGCATTTCCACGCAGATACTTATACAACTTATGGGGCTACTTATTGAAAAATTGAAGCATTTGCTTTTAATTCAACGTATAAAACATTTAAAAATTACACATAAAAAACTTAAACGGTAATACAACAATAACATTTGCATGTTCTTGTTTTTTTTTTTTTATTAAATTCCCTGTTTCTAGAATTTGTAAATATTCAAATCAACTTTTCAAAAAGAAAAAAAAAACCTCATTTGAATTTTAAGATTAGTTACCCTTTATCTAATTTATAGACTGTCAGACTAACACAGATTAATTTATAAATTCTTAATACAAGTCTTAACTGTATTGGACCATATGGTTAAGGCTTTTATTAGACAAAAATTTGAAGTCTTATAAGCTCGTATTTCATGTTTTGTTTTAGTAGAATTGCATAAAAAAGTAAAATGTTTTTCTTTTATTGTTAAAAATGCCTTACCTGTCTTCGCGGCTGCGTGCTTCAAATAAAGAGCGTCCTTTTAATGTTAGTTGTGTAAACCGATCTGTTATATTAGTAATCGTATTTTTACATTAGCTTCTGAACTCGTTTGTCCGGTACCTCCAGTCAGGTGAACGGTAGGTTTTTTTTTCTTCTTTCTTTTCTTTTATTTAAAAAATAGCACGTTTTATCCGCTAGGAGAAACTACATCCACGTAAAACTCTAAAGACGCCGTTCGTTGACTTTCCTTAAAAATACAAGATCGAATTTCCCACCATCTGTATTCTAAAGGACTGCCATATTCTTTAAGAAAACTTTGGTCCAAATAATATGTTTTGCTTCAGAATTCAACGACGAGAATTAAATATTTACAAGCTTGTGTTATATTAAAATAATTATTCTTAGCTAGAATTTCAAAGGTTAAAAGGATTTAAAACACGAACACATTTTGTTTTTCATTTTTCTTCTTATTTCATTAATTTATAAAAATGTATTTATATTCGCAATGTTTTTTTTATCTATGTTAAATGCCTGATAAGGCCCGTTAAAGTTTAAAATAAATTGTATTTCATCCGCTGTTTATGCATTCTTCACAATGCTGAACCTTTATTTCATAATGTGGTATAAAAATCGTATTCATTTACATTTTTAATTGACATGTAAAATGTCATGTCTATTATTTATATGTCTTTAAAGAACAATTTCTCTCTGAAATAGTCTCGTCTCTATAATGCATCTCACATATATTTATATTCCCACAATCTAATGGTGTCGAGTTGTAAAAGCAAAATATATTTTATCTTTACCTGACAATTAGACACTTTTTTCAAATGTTTTCTAAAAACAACATAAATAATAATCAAAAGCACACAGATACTTTGTGAATAGAGATTATGTGTGATTTAGATCGTCTTAGAATTTGCCATTTTGAAATATATTTTTTTTTTATATATTATAATCTTAATTTACGTGTTGCTATAAAAAATAATCTTTATTGTTGTTGTCTGTAAAATAAAATAAAAATCAAACACAACTCCTTACCCCACTTAATCGAAATGTAAGTCACTGAACATTAACATTAGGTTGACGTGGGGTTTATCCACGGCAACATCTTGTGCTTTGGTCTATTTTGTTTTGTGTAAGATGAATAAAAAAAAAGACAAAAGCTGCCTACTTGTACGGTTTTCCCGACAACTTTACAATTTCACTATAAAGATTTTATTTCGCCGACTATTTAAATATTAACGTATTATGATTAACGTATTTTTAAGGGTTTTCCCGAATAAAGGGCATACTATTTTCTCCATGCTTCGTATGAAGTAAAGGGGATATCACGAAAAAACTGCAAAATCAAAGTAAGAGCTAGTAAAAGTAGGGTATACAAAATCAGTACATGTTTGAACATTTTTCTTTATCGTCATAAAAAGGCTTCAATTAGAATTGAAAACATTCTATGTCGAGAAAGGAAGCCAAGTGGTCAAAGAAAACGAAGAAACGCAAAAAATAATAAAAAATAAAAATAGAGGGAGTTATCTCCACTAAGCTTTCTTGTAAATTACCAATTTTTACACATAATAGAATCGCTAATTAAAAAAAAACACTGCAAAGTACGTATAATTGAACGGGAAAGGTGTGAATTATAAAGAAAAAAATTATATCTCACAACATAAACGTTACTCAAGTTATTAGTTTTTTCAGAAACAGGAAGTTCAGCAATTACCACTGTACCGGAAATCGTTTAAAATTTGATGCAAAACTACAAATGTGACACGAATACATATACATTAAATTTCATCAATATAACTAAAAGGACACTTAAGTTATCGAGTTCACAGACAAACAGACACAGACACGCAGACACACACACACACACACACACACACACGCTGAAGGACATACAGACATATTTTCAAAATTAAGATTGCCCCACTCAGTGAGGCCTAAATCGCCGAGATTTGTGGACATTTCGATTTTGATTTTTTTCCACGATTACAATACTTCCTCTTTACTCAACACTTCGTAAAAATATAATCATAAATTTCCAAACATATTGGACAGATTATTGAAACATGTAGCCGTTTGTTAAAGCAATCAAATGAAGGAGAAATTTAAATATAAGCCCACTGCCACTTCTTCGTTCTTAATTCTTAGTGTTAGAAGGGGTCGAGGCTTATCAGCCAGAGGGTTTGAACTCGAGACTTTTTCGAATTTATCAACCATGAGCTTTTGCCGACTTGACCATGCTACCATCACAATTAAGGATACGTATCAACTGGTTATGCGCCATTTAGGCCATTGACTCCGATTTCAGCCTGCTTTTCTTTTTGGATTTGCTTCCATAGCTTTTGTCTAACCAAGAACAAACTACAAGGCAGCAGTTGTTTGATTTTGGAGCTGTCCCCAGCTAAAGAGCCTTTTCTGCCCGACCACGCCGACCCCCTCTGCGACTAACGAAACAAAGACATTTGAGAAGAAGTTATCGATGCTTCCCTTTAGGGTAGATGAGTGATTGACTGACGCTTACTAATATCTTTGTAAGGATGTGGAACAATTCAAATTTCGTCTGAAATCACAAAGGTCTAATTTCTACTGTTTGAATATACAAGACTGTCAATTCTGATGTCTGAATTAATTAACAAACATGCCATTCCTATTGTTTTGAAAACTACATGGGGTACTGAACGATGAAGAACGGTAATGAACATCAGATATTTAAACTTATGCCTAATGTAATGCTTTATATGTCCACAATACCCTAGACATCTTATCACTGTAAAATGATCTTCTGCTATGCATGACCAAATGACACTGATCAAATAGCATTTCTTAATAAAGTTTGTTTGTAGACGCAGATTTTATTTGCGATCAGACTCCTTCAATGTTTATTCAAAAACCGCAAGCCTACTATAATACGCTTCATTACACCAGTGCGTTTTAAATGGCACGCTCTATGTACTTTACAGGCGGACCTGACTCCACACACCCGCAAGTGTACTATAAATTTAATGTTTCTATTTCAATGTTAAGCTAGTCATATCCGTTCCCCATCCGCTTTTTATTGACAACACGGTCTTTAAAATCCACGCATATAAAGCACTGCTTGCAGACGTATGAATAGGGAGGTTTTATTTGAAAAGTTGCATGGGGATTTCCTTAAAAAAAACATCTTCATACTAAAAAACAATGACACTTTTGTAGGGAACATCCTTATTATTTTAAAAGCCATGTTATTTGATTATTTGAATGTAATTTCTGTATTTTGACGTTTAGCTGGCCTAAACCTATACAAATCTCAAGTACGCGTTAGTAAAACGATTATTAATCTTTTGAGTTTAAATAGTAAAAATAGAAATAATGTTCTAGGTTTAAGATTAAAATGCATTTTTGTATCTTCATCAAATAAGATATTTATATTTTCAAGTAACAATGTTGAATAGATTTTCAAATTTCACAAGCACTTTTTTCAGTATTTTATTCATATTTACTTTTATAACTTTTATTCGTTATACAGCACCAACAAATGTGTAACCTGGGCTTATCAGTCGCAGTTTCTCGTACTTAGGTCTAATTCTTTATTCGACGTAGCCTTAAAAACATCAGGGTCGCCTTAATGTGGTGATGAGGACCTTCTTTAAAATACATATAATTAAGCTATTTTAATTTTTTAGCATTTTTTGTTTAAAAATATTATTAATTAAAGCTACGAATTCTAAAATACATCACATCATTTGGAAGTTTAACGTTTTCATGAAATATTTTATTTATATCAGTTTTAGAAATTTACAAGGAATATCCTCATTAACATTTTGATATAATTTTAGTATGACAACGCTCTACGAGGTAACTGTGGGGGGGGGGGGGGGAGAGGGTACATATGCCCCAAGCGCCGAACTTAGGGGGCGCCAAAATGGCTTGGAAAAACAAATTGAAAGTTTAAAGGGTGGGTGCAAATTGAAAATTGAAAGGCTGTTCCTGAGGGCGGGGGGGGGGGGGGGGACGCCTAATTGAAAGTTTGTCACCGGGCGCCGGGAAGGGTCGCTACGTCTCTGAGCCTCTTAATTGAAAATGTTTTACCAGAGTCACTGTTTTTGTATACTGTAGCAACAAATCGTCAGTGACAATCCTAAGACATACTGCTGATAATATATTGTAGGCTACATGTTGTAGTTCCCAAGTGATAAAATATAGCAAACCAGTTACCACAAAAAAAGCTTTCTATGAATATTTCACGAGTACAGATACTTGTTATTCCTATAAATCTTTCTTTTATGTAATACGTAACATCTTCATACCATTGTAATCATTAAGGTACATTAAATCATCATCATCATTTTAGCAGCTGATTTTTTTAGTTGAGAGGTACATGAGAGGTATTATTAAGGGAAGGAGAAAGGGTTACATGTAGAATTATGTGGAGAGTTTATATAGATATAAAAATGCATAATTTCTAAAAGAAGTGTAGCTTCCCTACATCGGAGATAGGTAAGGGCACACCTTCATGTAAATAAAAATGTAAGGATAATCAAAAGAAGCATGTTTTAAAGTTAAATATTACCAACTGAGAAAAGCTATCAATTTTACATCGTTCATTGATGATAGGTTAAGTGTACAAACATATCTCGCTAAATGCACTTCTGTGATCCCCATATCACTGACGTATTTGATTTATCAACATTTCCCAAAACTCCTCTGTGTCCTCATACAACAAACAACGGTGATTCTGGTTTCTGATGTAGGTCACGATCTCCACTGGCCAGGTGATGACGGGAAAGTGACCCACAAAAACAGGCACGATGATCCTATCAGAACAATTCATTTCGTGCATGATGGCCAGGTTCATCTCGAGTTCCCGGTTCCTGTCTTCAAAAATATCTCGCGAGAGTAGGATGAGAGTCTTTCTTGTACCAACAATGGCGCCAGCTATGTTGTTTTGTTGTGGGCCTGCTGGGAAGTCGTCCTCGCCGTTAACGTAAGTCACGTGGTTCTGTATCAGACGTGGGATGAAAACATTTCGCGCCAGAAAAATGAATTCTGGCTCCTGGAATATTTTTGACAATATTTTAGTTCTTGTTGTATATTTTTTTTTCATTATTTAAACAACCACTTATGTATACTAGCTTCAATAATAAACACTTCAATAAATGTATAGAGGCATCAAAAATATTTATCCTTTATTCAATCTATTCATTGAGCTGATTCTGACCAATAGAAAAAATGTAAAAAAAAAACAAACATGCCAGTTAATAGTGAAACAATCTCTGTAATTAATAAACCGGGAGTGATCTCCCCTAAACTTTTTCGAATATTCTTATATAAAACAACAGGGGAACTCGGAATATAGTTATGATTTTTAATCCATTTTAAATACTTAAACTTTTAAAAATAGAATAGAATCTCTTTAAAAAAAATAATTGCGCACCAAGCGAACGCCGAATAAAGATGTGTATAATAGTGCGGAATTTTATTAGTACTTTATTAATTCACATGCGTTTTTCGAGAAATCGGAAATAGCGTAAATTAGTACTTCCAGTCAACGGAAATTAATAAAAATTTGACAGTAGGTAGAGAATTATATCTTTTACTTACGTGTGAAATTTCATTTATCTATCTGAAATAGTACTCAAGTTATAGGCTTTTGAAAAATTCAAAGTAGATAAAGTAACACTTTCGGTTATCGGAAATCGCTCAAAAGTTGATACGGATTTACGATTTTGATAAAATACTTATTTATGAAATTTCATCAAGCTAGCTGTAACGGTACTTAAGTTATCGTGTTTACACACAGACACACACACACACACACACACACAGACATACGGACAGAATTGCAAAGTCCAGTTTTTCCGATTCGATAACGCATAAAACACCAAATGTTTATATATTTGTATTTATAATTTTCGACTGATTAAAATAAGTTCTCTATATTCCGGATGTGATGAAGGACTGAGAGGTAAAACGGTGAAAACTGTCAAAATTTAATGTCATTTTTGTGCACGATTACAAGACTTTCTCTATACTTCGTATATACGAGAAAGTAAAAATGAACATATATAATGCTTAAATTTAGTTTTATTTATAATCTTGTACATGCAAAACACTTTCATTTAACATTGAACTGCGAACGTTGTATAACATTTATTAAAATTAAATTAGCCTTTTAAAACTAGTGCGCAATGATCTTTATGGCTCTTATTTAATTGGTGTTTTTAAATTGTAAGAGTTTTTAAAACTTTACCTGTTCATAGGTTATAAAAACACCAGCAACTGGTTTATATGCCAATGATATATTGCCGATGTGAAGTTTCTTTGATCCAATGTAATAGAGATAAGCAAATTTCCATCTGTTGTAGTAAAACATGGCAGACAATAAGACGATGCCGAGAACGATGAAAAATGTAACGAGAGTTCCAATGAAAATTTCCTGTGAGACACAGCTCTTCATTAACTGTGGGTAGAATGTGGCCAGTTGGTCATGTGATAAGTTGGAGACGTCAGCTGTGGTACAGTTGATGGAGCCTACACTATCGAATATGTCTGGCTGGGTGATTAGAAGATGGACAAACGACAGGTACTCGCAAGTACACATTAGACGATTGGACTGGATTCTAATTTTCAAATTTGTGTTTTTGGCTTTCTGTTGTTTTAAATCTTGACACATTTTATCAGAAAATCCTGAAATTAAATTAGAGGTTAAATCAATAACCTCAATTTTGTTAAATGTTTTTATATCTATGTCGAAATCAGTTAGTTCGTTTCTAGAGAGATTTAAATATTTTAAATTGGTGTTCTTCTCAAAGACATTTCTGGATAAAGATGTTATAGTGTTGCCACTGATGTTTAAGGTCTCCAATCTGGTCAGTGTTGAGAAAGCTATTCCTGAAATGTCATTGGCTAAACTTATACCAAGAACGTTGTCTTGTAGAAGAAGTGTCGTAATGTTGGTAAGGTATTTGAAGAACGTCAAACTCATTTTGGTACAATAATTCTCGGATAAGTCGAGATATTGTAGAGCTGGTAGTCCATTCATGGGCCCTCCCCAGCACCTGGCCATGTTGTTTGAGTAGTCCATGTATCTGAGTACTGTATTGTTTAAAAATGTTATGGCAGGTATGAAGAACTCGACTTTCATCGACCCGCTAATAAAAACTTCTAGATTTGGTGGAATTGCCAAGTAAAAAGTGCGTCTTATTTTAGTTCCTATATTTTTCACAAGCATATTTTTATAGCTTCGTACGACATTATTATTTGTAATAAGCTCCGCTGAATATTTTTCACAAAAATCTTTTCCATAGTTACCAATATTAGTAGAACCGAATTCAAGATTTTTATCTTTCTCTAAGTAAGTATCATTTCTAAATCTCCTGTATTGAGTTTGGAAGCTCAAATCGATAGTTTTTAAATTCCGCATAAATAAAATAGTCAAAAGAAAATCGAACTTCGATATTACATTATGCTTTAATGATAAATATTCCAGAGTCTGCGGCAAGTCCCTAAAAGCAAAAGCTTCTACACTATAGATTCTGTTCACAGATAAATCTAAATATTTGAGAGGAGTATTTTTTAAATGATGAAACATGTGTCTTGTTATCTCGTTATAAACATATCTGTCCTTTTCAATGCCATGTAAATTTAAAAACTCTATGTTTGAACCGCTCAGTGATTTGGATCCATTTTTAAAACCTTTCAACGTAAAACGATTTTTCGAAATGTCGAGATTACGGAGATTTCTGATAGGGCTGAATAGTCGTGGTGGTAAATACGACATATAGCAAACTGATAGCGATATCGTCATAGGTCGAAGTGACACGATGTTCTCGAAAAAATTGTCAGGCATAGCCGATCCCATATTGCAATATGAACAATAAATTAATGTTCTTATAAATATACCCTCTAATTTCTCTAAGTTTCTAAATCCAGGTCCTAAAGGAACAGGGTAACCGTCAATGTTTATTTCTCTAAGATTTTTTAATTTAGAAATTGCTTGATCTGGGTATACTATATTATCTTTGCTTGGACTGTTGCATTCTAGATGTAAGACTTCAAGTTGATCTAGTCCGTTAAATGCATCTAATTCAAATGTTGAATTTAAATAAATTAAATTGTTCCTCATTAAGGAGAGCCATTTTAACGAATGCATACCATAAAAAGTGTTATTAAAAATGTGACAGAGTTTATTATACGATAAGTCCAAGTAGCTCAGCTGCGTAAGGTTGCTGAAGAAAAATGACTGGATCTTGTTGATGTTGTTCAGGCTTAAATCCAACCTCGTCGTTTGTGGAGGTAAGTCTGGAATATTCTGTAGCTGTCTGTTTGAGCAGTCTACATTAAATTGCTGCGTGGTTTTGTCTTCAGTACAATAGCACTGTGTGGGACACATTATTTCTTTTCTTTCTTGTCTCAAAGCCTCATTGAAATTTTCAGTTGTCTCTAAGGTTAAAGTTTGTATTGGTGTGATACAAATTAACCAGACCACAATGGACGAGATCACACAACTTTTTAAAGACGACATCTCTGTTCTTGTATACCACCTAAGATTAAATGCATATACCGTACTGTTATTGATATCAACTTTCAAAATATTTTTGTTAACACTAGATAAATGAACAGTTGGGGGAGAAACACAAATGGGGCTAAGTTTATAGTGATTTTTCTTCAAAATCAAAACCGAAACCAAAACCAAACACCCCACTGCAACCTCAAATTTAACCGGAAACGAAAAATTTAATTGAAAACAGATGTTTATCCAGGATCGGCTTTATAATCGGTTCCGGAAATTGAACTTGAAATAAAACAGCTAATAACCCTAATCTTAATCCTAATACAAACGTCTACTCTATATATTGCTTTTTTGCATATGTACATTAACTTCTAAAATTTTGACAATTAAATACGGCGGTTAATTATTTTGGCCTCTATTATCAATCACGTTATTATTATTGTGTATTGTTTTCGGCATTCGATTAATGGTTCTATTTTTTAAATTAAAAAACCAAAGACGGCACTCTATCTTGTGTATAGACGCTAAATCTAGACATTACCACAATACTTTATCTGGTAACCTTGATCTACACGTAGTTATTACACATTCATACACAATACAGTCGTAGATCATACCCCTAAACCTTGCAATTGAATTTTTCGATATTTTTTCAAAAATCTTGTCTGAACTCAGTCAACGTAGAGCATTTTAATCAATTCCTATCTTCTTCTTCTTCGTTCTTAATTATTAGTGTTGAAGGGGATCGAGATTTATCTTCCAGTGGCTTTTTGCCTACTCGACCACAATTAAGCGTTACGTGTCAACTGGTTATGCGACATTGAGGCCATTGACTCCGATTTAAGCCTGCTTTTCTTTTTGGATTTGCTTCCATAGCCTTTGTCCAACCAAGAACAAACTACAAGGCAGCAGTTGTTTAATTTTGGAGTTGTCTTCAATTACTATTACAATTAATTAAAACAGTTTTCCAAAACGCGAAATAACAGCTAAAACTCGTTTTCTAACATTCCTTTTTTTTATAATGCAAAATTACGGACCCCCTCGCCAATAAGAGTGTGATAACATTTATGGACGACCACTTATACATTGTAGTTAACACAGTTTTCCCATCGTTCTTATCCCAGCGTGCCCACCTTGATAATGTTACAAGATTTTCCTTTAATGAGTTATTAATAATTAACATATACAATTATTAAAATTGGATATTTTAGGTTTTAGTTTATCTTTGATTAAAATGTAATCCTTTAGATTTTATTATATATTCTAACACTTTCAAAAGAATTGATGTTATTTAAAAATTTATTGTACGACGTAAATTCAAAATAAGCAAATGCACGTTCTTAATTTTACCCTTTAATTATTTAGTAACAAAAACTAACAAAGGCATTTCAACGCAGATACTTATACAACTAATGGGGCTTACCTATTGAAAAATTGAAGCATTTGCATTTAATTCAACGTATAAAACATTTAAAAATTACACATAAAAAACTTAAACGTTAATACAACAATAACATTTGCATGTTCTTGTTTTGTTTTTTTATTAAATTCCCTGTTTCTAGAATTTGTAAATATTCAAATCAACTTTTCAAAAAGAAAAAAAAAACCTCATTTGAATTTTAAGATTAGTTACCCTTTATCTAATTTATAGACTGTCATACTAACACAGATTAGTTTATAAATTCTTAATACAAGTCTTAACTGTATTGGACCATATGGTTAAGGCTTTTATTCGACAATACAATTAAGAAGAAGTCGTATTTCATGTTTTTGTTTTAGTAGAATTGCATAAAAAAGTAAAACGTTTTTCTTTTATTGTTAAAATGCCTTACCTGTCTTCGCGGCTGCGTGCTTCAAATAAAGAGCGTCCTTTTAATGTTAGTTGTGTAAACCGATCTGTTATATTAGTCATCGTATTTTTACATTAGCTTCTAAACTCGTTTGTCCGGTACCTCCAGTCAGGTGAACGGTAGGTTTTTTTTTCTTCTTTCTTTTCTTTTATTTAAAAAATAGCACATTTTATCCGCTAGGAGAAACTACATCCACGTAAAACTCTAAAGACGCTGTTCGTTGACTTTCCTTAAAAATACAAGATCGAATTTCCCACCATCTGTATTCTAAAGGACTGCCATATTCTTTAAGAAAACTTTGGTCCAAATAATATGTTTTGCTTCAGAATTTAACGACCAGAATTAAATATTTACAAGCTTGTGTTATATTAAAATAATTATTATTAGCTAGAATTTCAAAAGTTAAAAGGATTTAAAACACGAATACATTTTGTTTTTCATTTTTCTTCTTATTTCATTAATTTATAAAAAATTAATTATATTCGCAATGTTTTTTTATCTATGTTAAATGCCTGATAAGGCCCGTTAAAGTTTAAAATAAATTGTATTTCATCCGCTAATTATGCATTCTTCACAATGCTGAACCTTTATTTCATAATGTGGTATAAAAATCGTATTCATTTACATTTTTAATTGACATGTAAAATGTCATGTCCATTATTTATATGTCGTTAAAGAACAATTTCTCTCTGAAATAGTCTCGTCTCTATAATGCATCTCACATATATTTATATTCCCACAATCTAATGGTGTCGAGTTGTAAAAGCAAAATATATTTTATCTTTACCTGACAATTAGACACTTTTTTTCAAATGTTTTCTAAAAAAATCATAAATAATAATCAAAAGCACACAGATAATTTGTGAATGGAGAGATTATGTGTGATTTAGATGGTCTTAGAATTTGCAATTTTGAAATATATTTTTTCTACATATTATAATCTTAATTTATGTGTTGCTATAAGAAATAATCTTTATTATTGTTGTCTGTAAAATAAAATAAAAATCAAACACAACTCCTTACCCCACTTAATTGAAATGTGAGTCACTGAACATTATCATTAGGTTGCCGTGGGGTTTATCCACGGCAACTTCCTTTGCTTTGGTCTATATTGTTTGGTGTAAGATGAATAAAAAAAAGACAAAAGCTGCCTACTTGTACGGTTTTCCCGACAACTTTACAATTTCACTATAAAGATTTTATTTCGCCGACTATTTAAATATTAAACGTCGCTTTGGGGTGATTAACGTATTTTTAAGGGTTTTTCCGAATGAAGGGCATAATATTTTCTCCATGTTTCGTATGAAGTAAAGGGGATATCACTAAAAACTGCAAAATCAAAGTAAGAGTTAGTAAAAGTAGGGTATACAAAATCAGTACATGTTTGAACATTTTTGTTTATCGTCATAAAAAAGGCTTGAATTAGAATTGAAAACATTCTATGTCGAGAAAGGAAGCCAAGTGGTCAAAGAAAACGAAGAAATGCAAAAAATAATAAAAAATAAAAAATAGAGGGAGTTATCTCCACTAAGCTTTCTTGTAAATTACCAATTTTTAAAACATAATAGAATCGCTAATAAAAAAAAAACACTGCAAAGTACGTATAATTGAACGGGAAAAGTGTGCTTTATAAAGAAAAAAAATTATATCTCACAACATAAACGTTACTCAAGTTATTAGTTTTTTCAGAAACAGGAAGTTCAGCAATTACCACTGTACCGGAAATCGTTCAAAAGTTGATGCAAAATAACAAATGTGACATGAATACCTATACATTAAATTTCATCAGCATAACTAAAATGACACTTAAGTTATCGAGTCCACAGACAAACAGACATAGACACAGACACACACACAGACACAGACACACACACAGACACAGACACACACACACACACACACACACACACACACACACACACGCTGAAGGACATACAGACATATTTTCAAAATTAAGATTGCCCCACTCAGTGAGGCCTAAATCGCCGAGATTTGTGGAAATTTCGATTTTGATTTTTTTCCACGATTACAATACTTACTCTTTACTATACACTTCGTAAAAATATAATCATAAATTTCCAAAAATATTGGACAGATTATTGAAACATGTAGCCATTTGTTAAAGCAATCAAATGAAGGAGAAATTTAAATATAAGCCCACTGCCAAATATGTTGTACCGGTATTTGTATGATCTCTCATGGAGAAGCAAAGTGCCACGCTGCGACTAACTTTTTCTTCTTCTTCGTTCTAAATTCTTAGTGTTGGAAGGGGTCGAGGCTTATCAGCCAGAGGGATTGAACTCGAGACTTTTTCGAATTTATCAACCATGAGCTTTTTCCGACTTGACCATGCTACCATCACAATTAATGATACGTATCAACTGGTTATGCGCTATTTAGGCCATTGACTCCGATTTCATCCTGCTTTTCTTTTTGGATTTGCTTCCACAGTTTTTGTCTAAACAAGAACAAACGACAAGGCAGCAGTTGTTTGATTTTGGAGCTGTCCCCAGCTAAAGAGCCTCTTCTGCCCGACCACGCCGACCCTTTCTGCGACTAACGAAACAAAGACAGCTTAGAAGAAGTTATCGATGCTTCCCTTTAGGGTAGATGAGTCATTGACTGACGCTTACTACTATCTTTGTAAGGATGTGGAACAATTCAAATTTCGTCTGAAATCACAAATGTCTAATTTTTACTGTTTGAATATACAAGACAGTCATTTCTGATGTCTGAATTAATTAACAAGCATGCCGTTCCTATTGTTTTTGAAAACTACATGGGGTACTGAACGATGAAGAACGACAATGAACATCAGATATTTAAACTTATGCCTAATGTAATGCTTTATCTGTCCACAATACCCTAGAAATCTTATCACTGTAAAATGATCTTCTGCTATGCATGACCAAATGACACTAACCAAATAGCATTTCTTAATAAAGTTTGTTTGAGGCCGCAGATGTTTAAGCACGAATTAACTATGTTTCTTTAAAAAAATAGTTTCAAACTGTACACTGCACACTGCCAGGTTACTAAAAAATATAGCTTTTTATTTCTAAAAAACCAACAACACTGAGTTAGGCAACCATGAAAAGTACTGGCAGTTGTTGTGTAACTACTACTATCAAATAATAATTTTAAATACATTAAAATACACAA